TCCGAGTATAAAAAGCATCCCTTAACAAGGTGGTGTGACACAGCAAAAACTTATAGAAGTGACTGGAAAATATCTCTTGTGCCATTTCCATCATTTTTGTAGAAATGTATATTGCTTTTCCAGTTGTCAGAATATTTTTTAAACACGCACTGGGATCTTTTTGCTGTTCTTTTGTCATTCTATCTTTTGGGCAGCTTTTTGTGTACAGAACCCTAATAAGATCTGTCATGATACTATTCATTGCTGGATAGCTGGTGGAATAAATACCATAGGATTTTCATTTTTCTCTATGCTTGCCTCACTGGAAATTTCCATTGATGTTAATAATGAGAATTACTGGGGATATTCAGTTGCCCATTTACTCAGGAGCAAATCTGGTCTGCAATGTCTCTTTCCAGTGTTGCATCTTAGAATCAGTGTTTCAGTGAATTTGCTGAACTACCACAAGGAATTCTAAACAACAGCAGTAAGTGTAGCAAATCCACCAGTTCCTTGATTTAAACCCTCTGGGAAAAATGATGAAATATGGATGACTTAGAAACTTTGTGACTTTTAATACATGTGGATTAAAGAAGCCTGAATTTAATGAATATTGAGCTCTATTAGCTGCCTTAGGTTTTAGTTGTTTGATTTAAGTGTGTAGTTTTGAACCATTAATTTGCATGTAGTTCCTAAACATAGAGTTAAGCACTGCACCCAAGTAAATCCCATTTAAACTTTTTGACTGAGGAAAATCATGTTTAAACATGATAGTACTACTAGGGAAGTACATCTGTGAAAAGGAGCATATTTATAGTAATATGTGCATTTGCATGTCTTCTTTGGAGAACTGAATTGATCTTAACTTTGTGTTGTCTTGTTGGAATCTCAGTCTAGTTCTTGTTCCCTTGCAGGCAACTGTTACCTAGTAGATACACCAGTGAATGCCTACATGTATTTCTTGCAGTGTGTTTGTCGGATGCCCAAATGTGAGATAAATATTCTGGGGAGCCTATCCATTATCTTGCTACTGCCTTCTAGCAAAGCAAGTGCTATGTCAGTTTTTTTCCTTTCATGGATGAGAACTCTTTTTCTTTCCTTTTTTTATTTTTTCTTTTTCTTCCAGTCCAAATTAGGTGTTTGTGTATTGAGTTTATCCACATGCTTTAGATGTTTATATCCATCTGGCATAGTATTACTTTAGCAATCAGTTTAACAGATGACAATAGTAAAAGCTGTAAGAGAAAATTTCTACATGATTTAACATTGAAGACAAGTTGATTTGAAAAAAAAAAAAAAGATTGTAAGAGATTTTTAATGCATTCAATTAACTTCTTTTTTCCTTTACACATACTGTGTTGTTTCAAGTAAGATGCACCTAATAGTCTTTAATGATTATGCCTTTTCATTTTAATGCCTAATAGTTTGTTTTTCTTTCTTGTGAGGAAATCCATAGATAAAAGTAGGTGTAGAAACAGGCTCAAATTTTAATATGTTGTGCATTATTTTGCTCTTGATCTTACAGAGTTTGCTCTTACTTTCACCTAATGTAAGGAGTTACATGCTACTTTGACCTCTGGAAGTTGAACATATCAGAGTTCACATGAACGGAAAAAGAGGTGCTGCCCAAACAAAACAGATTAAATTCTTTAATGAGATGGTAGGCTTTCAAGAGTGAGGGCCAGTAAAGGGTTAAGAACCAAGTAAGGGCTTTCATGACCATTTATTACTCATTTTCTTTCACACTGACTTTATTCAAACCCTTAGAATTTTCGTGACTTCCTCTGAAATTTAGATTTGTCCACAGGCTTCTGGGTGGGTGCACTCAAGGCTTCCCCTACCCATGTTTCGCATCCCATTGGCCACTGTAAGAGGCCTAAGCATTTCTCTTCGGAAGGACTGTGCTAGCTACTTTGAGTGGTCAGAACACATTCTTGTACCTTGAGAAAAGCATGTAATTTCAGAGATGAGTAATGTTGAAGATGTTGTATCTACATTTGGTTTTTCTTCGCTGGCTAGCTTGAAATGGCTATGCATTGAATGGACTGACATCAGATATCTGAAAGTACAGGCACTTGGGATTTTCATTCTGATGCAGGGAAACTCTCCCGTACTTGATGCAAGAAGGCTCTTCTGTTGCTCTCTGTTCTGAAGCCAGGATCTTACAGTCCAGTGTTCGTGCATCGATCTCCTACGTGCCTGGTTTCTTCAGAAATATTACCTTTAGTGCTGTCTAGAGGCTATATTTAGGCTTAGGACAGATGTTACTATGTTTGAAACAGCATGCAACTGCAGATTACTTAGCTCTATATTTAGCATGTTGTTAGATGATCAAATGTCTTAGTTTACAGCTTTGTTCAGTGTTTGTGTGAATGAGCGTCCTGCTATAGGTGAGCTGGAAGAAAAGAAACTTCAGCTTTTGAAAGTGCTGGTTGGTGAGACCTTTGTGAGTGGAGACTGTCCAAAAAGACCTTTAGGTGGAGTTTGATGGTGTTCTCATACAGTCCAGGGTTCAAACATTTAAAAGGATATGTTTAGATTATTGTCTCCTAGTCTTTATCTCATGAACTAGAAAGAGCTTGCCAAATAATTCATAGCAGAACATATCCTAAGTGATGGAAGGAATATAGGTTTATTTCCTGCCTTTTAAGGCAGATAAGACTAAATAAATTTGTTTGCTTCCTTTTTGTACTCAGATAATAATTTTGTGGATTTTATTTGAAACCTGTTGTGTTTTAAAGGTGAGGAAATATCTTATTAGTAATAGAACAGGAATATCTCTTGTTCTAGCTGGGTGTCGATTTATTCTTCACCTTTCAGCATCCTAGTTAATTATTGAGCAACAGGATCTAAAAGTCCAGCACAGCAGGATTTTATACTTTGATCAGCTCCATAAAAAACCATAAACATCTTAGGAACCACTGTACTAAAGAAAAGTATTGGAAAGATTGAAAAGTGCTAACTTGTTTAGTTTCCTCTGCACGCATGAAAATAAGGAAATAATTCTTCCCTTACTGTATTATTGCGGGAGTTAATTCCATGTTTTCCATGCTGAAGTATTTGAAGATGTTTGTATTACGAGTTAAAAACACAGAGGGAATGCTACATGAAAGAGGTACACTGGTTTGACAGGCTGATATGGGGGGAGAGCACGTGTGCAAATTCAGCAAAAGTAATAAATAGCATTCTTTTCTATGCCCTGACCAGGAGCAAGGATGCCACTCTGGCTGCTGCATTTGGAATACTAAGGAGGCTCTTCTTGTCCCATCATTGGGTCCTCCAACATTTTAGACAGCTGAAACACAGCAAAAAATAAAATGTGGTAGATGTATGTACGTACTGTAGATTCAAGAATGGTGTAATCAGAAACTCATAGAAACCAATCTTTGCATAGAAAAGCACTTGACTTTCTTTCTGCTAAATTAAAAATAAAACTCTAATTGTTAGCAGTGTGTGAAAAGCCAGTATTAGGAACACTAAAAAATGAAGTGAATTTTAAGTGTAGTATGAGTTTTTAATTGGAGAGGTTAGTGACATTGACTTACATTACTATTGCATAAGCATTCGTCCCAGTATGCTATTTTACCTTTTAGGTGGTAAAACATTCAGATTCCTTTGTATCACATTCCATTTCAGTTTTTGTAAACTTGAGAAACTCTATTATTTGACTTGATTGAAAATTAATTAGAAGTTATACTTGATAAATAATTTAGGGTAGCTGCAAAGTGTATTATTAAATAATTAAATATAATTAAGATAAAGGTATGGTGTGGACTGAAGTTCTCCAGACACTTGTACTCCTTTTGCAGAAGTGACATTGCAGTTTGCATCTGATTGAAATTCCAGACCGTCAATTCCCATCAAATTGAAAAAGTCAAAAGTGGTTTTTTAGTAACTGTTTGTGAAACGTTTGTGCTTCTGTTTTTACAGAAATAGTTAGTGATGCATTTATAGCATGCACCTCTAACATATCTGTTTTCTTTTGACTTTTATGACAAGTGCAGGGTTTGAAATACCTTTTTATTGCTATCTTAATTGAGTTCTGTTGATAAATCCTCATTTGAAAGTAGACATGTTGAATTTTACTTCCTTCTGTGGTATCACAGCATATGTATTAGTTGAGTTATCTCTTTTGGCTTTGGATTTGTTCAACGCAGACATATGAATGTCTTTTTTAGTTTTTTAGTTGCACATCTGTTGTGTAAATTGATTATTTTGAATAATAAAACACATTAACCCCCAATAAAACACATTAACAGGCACTGAAAAAGAGCCCATAAATTGACTAGATGTTCATGGACGGTTGTTTGAGTGTAACTTCATGTGGACTATGGCTTTACGTTTCTTCTTGCTGTTGAAGTGGATAATATTGTAACATTACACCTCCTCCTCCTGCTCTCTTTTTTTCTTTTCTGTAGAACTTACCAATTTGCTGGGTGTTTTCCTTTTTTATTTTCTAAGCTCCTGAAGCCAGGAGACAATCAAGTGACCTTCACTGAAGGGAACTGGGGTTGTTTTAGTCTGGGGTTGTTTAGGCTGAGGGAAGACCCTATTGCTCCTTCCAAAATCTGAAAGGTGATTGCAGTGAGAGCAGGGTTGGTCTCTTCTCACTGGCGACAGGAGACAGGACGAGGGGGCATGGCCTCAAGTTGAGCCAGGGGAGGTTTAGGTTGGATATCAGGAAACACTTCTTTACAGAAAGGGTTGTTAAGCTCTGGAATAGGCTCCCCAGGGAGGTGGTTGAGTCGCCATCCCTGAATTTGTTTAAAAACCATTTGGATGTGGTGCTTAGGGAGATGATTTTGCAGAGGGTTGTTAGAGTTAGGGTAGTATGGTTAGGTTGTGGTTGGACTTGATGATCTTTAAGGTCTTTTCCAACCTGAGTGATTCCATGATTCTATATTAGTAGAAATTCATTAGTTAAAACAATTATTTTTTAATGATGCCTTAATTACAGATTACCGTAAGAGGAAAAGGAAGGTAAAATAATGAGAAATTGAAATAGTGACTTTGTTTTGCAGGTTCTTTCATGTTGGTGAATACATCTGGGAGATACGCAGGACAGAAGGCTCACCTCCTGATGCCCCATCTAAAAGAAAATGATACGCATTGTATTGATTTCCACTATTATGTTTCGAGCAAGAGTGGATCTAGCCCTGGCACTTTGAATGTGTATGTGAAAGTTAACGATGGACCTATCGGTAACCCAGTCTGGAACACATCTACTACTGGAACTTGGAACAGAGCAGAACTGGCAATTAGCACTTTCTGGCCCAATTTTTATCAGGTATGTTTTATTTTTTATGAAATTATATTTCTCGTAGTCAGCACTTGGCTCTAAATTATCATTTTGACTTTAAAATCAAAATATTTTTCAGTATGACTTATTGATCTTTATCTTAATTACATTTTTGCAGATGATGACAAGCGTTTTTACATGCATATAGCTATGTTTAAATGTTTACATATATTTATAGAAATATATGAGATGCATTCATACACACGCACACACTTCATATGTATGACAGATGTGAGCCCAAAATTATGAACTAAATGAATACCATGGAGAATTTACGTGGATGGCCCATAGACTAGAGGAATAATAAGTGTGTGTGTGTACATATATCAGTAAGCAAGGTAAGTGATGGTAATTAGTTAGGATGTGTAGAAATTGTGGGACAGTGATGTAAATGGTATGGAATAAGTCATGAATATTGTCTTAGTTTCATCTGGGACATAATTCTTCAGAGTGTCTGAAGCGTCTGAACATGCTGTGCTTTGATGCTAAGAGAAAAACGATGTTGATAACACACCAAGGTTTATAGTTGCTGCTTAGCAGTGTTGTACAGAGCCAAAGCCATTCACAGTGAAGGGCCCAAGGAGCTGGGAGGGAACAGGATTAGTACAGCTGTCTTAAACTAGTCACCGGGATATTCCATACCATATGACATCATACAGAAGGAGTTTTGAAGGGGATGGGAGTTCATCTCACTCTCTTCCACTGCTCAAGGGCTAGCTGGGTGTCAGTCTGGAGTGGTGAGCAATTGTTTGTGCATCATTTGTTATATACATTCATATATATTTATATGTTTGTCATAATTATCTTTTTTTCTACTTTGATAAATAGCTTTATCTCAAACTATGAGTTCTACTTCATTTTTTCTTTTTGATTCTCTCCCCCAGCACACTGGGAAGGAGGAGGAGTAAGTGAACGACCATGTGGTGCTTAGCCACCTGCTGGGTTAAACCGCAACAAATGTGAATGAAATAATCACATTCAAACAATCAAGAATTTCTTCTATTGATTCCAGTCAATCACTTTAATTTCTTGATAATAAATTCAGTAATTCTTTCAGTTCATTAAGGATGCTGGAATTGAATGTCAATAGATTTTACTGCATCAGAGTCTTCAGGTTTGATTTAGATGATGAATACTTATTGACCAGTGCAGTCATAAATGGAACAACAGCTACCAAAGGAATGTGCTTCTGATTACATCCTAAAGATTTAGTGAGAATCTCACTTGCCAGTTTCTTAAAAGTACTGCTTTTCTGTATGGAAGCTTACAGATTATATAGTTATTTACTGTCGTACAACAGTTCAACAGTTTTTCTCCTTCCTATGAAAATACAGTCTACATCTACATGAGCAAGTAATTTGCCTTAATAGGAGCAGACCAAAGCTATTGCTTAGGCACCTATCGTTTTCATTTGCACTGTGGTTGGTTCCTCTGGGCTGACATTTTTCACTCATCATTTGAAGCTTTCATGAGAAAGGCTACCTCAAAGATGGGGATTCTTTAACTGCAGACATCCCTAGGAAGTGCAGTGTTGTCCTTCCACAGTGTTTTCTATGTGTGTGTTATACAGAGAGTGACAGCATTTTGATTCCTACATCAATATCCTGACAACTACTATCACATATTGGTAGAGCCTTGTTGCCAACAGTGATCAGGTGTTGATTCTTGAAGGAGATCCCAAGTAAGTTTATGGACATCTCAGCAAGCTTCACTGGAAGAATTCATGGTGTGGATTACCTAAAATTGGCCATTGATTCAGTGGAGGATACTGGCATCTCTTCCAGAAGAGCAGGCTTATTAGGAAAATTTAGATTCTCCTAAGCATTGTAGGAAAATCTGCATACTGCTTAAAACCTCAAGATGCTTTAGAGAGGCATCTTGACCACAGAGTCCAGGCTTGGTTTAGCCATAGTTCTACCTCTCACAAGGTGAAAGGGCACCTTTCTGAAAGGTTGTGTGCCACACATTACCAATTTCATGTTAGTGTTGAGAATGCTCTCCAGTGTTACCAAAGAGCCTTTCTATCTTGACTGTAACAATGAGCCTCAATGGGCAATAGAAGAATAGTGCGTTACACACAGAATTTTCATCTGGTGTGGGTTATAACTCTGGGTGCTTTGTAACAGAACGTCTCCTGGAGGTATTTATGAGCTTTCTGGGTTGTCCAGTAGAGTTGTATGATGCGTATACATTTTGCAGACACTGGGTGAACAGGCAATTGTGTTGTTTATGCCTTGGTCTGGACCAGGTTGTCCACCCTAGAGTTTGGAGTGAGTTAAGGGAGAAACTTAAGATTTAATTCCTTCTGAAAAGAGTCTGGTTTGGATGCAGCAGAACTGCTCTGTGAACCAAAAGGCAGTAAAGATGAGGAACATGTTTCAAAGCCTCACTAAAGCTCTGAAACAAACTAGTAATGTGTGGGGGGGAATTTTAACAGAAGAAGCTCAGATTCTTGACAAATAAATTTAAGCTAAATTAAAATTCTGATAAAAATACTGCAAGTTCAGAGAGTTTAAGATCTATTGTTAACAATAATAATAATAATCTGTATCAGATTTCTAACAATATGACACATCTAACTGATGTCTCAGGAATATTGGTATTTGGCCACTGAAACAGAAAGATAACCTTTCTCTCAAGACCTGAACCCAGGACTGTTCACCTTTATCCATAGGTGAATCCTTATATGCTTGGATCAATTACTGCAGTTTAGGAAATTACTATGCATCGCCTTATATAAAATAGACACCTAGATATTTTGACACAATCTACCCTTCCTTCACTGAGGACTATATTAAGTCATTTTCTTTGCATTTGCTGCTTAAATTGTGAAATTACTCCTGCTTAAGAATTGCAATTTAGTTGATGTGCCAAAGTGTCTTATAGCAATATCCATGGAGGTCCAAGGAATCAGTTTAAAATAGTATAGCTTCACTATTTTGTTGTAGATGAACTAATTTATTCTTGAGGAAGGTCTCTCTCCATTTTCATATTTCATGGTCATTGCCAATTTGTTTGCCTCTGTTCTCTTAGAAATCTCTAATGCATTTTCCTTACCAATATAGTGATGGAATTTCTCTTCATTTCTCATGGAATTACAGAGCATCCGGAGTTGGAAGGGACCAAACGATCATCCAATACAGCTCCCAGCTCCATACAGACCACACAAAATTAAAACCCTATGTCTGAGAGCAGTGTCTCAACCTTCCTTGGACTCTAGCACTTGGGGCCATGACCACTGGGCAGCCCGTTCCATGCCCACTGCCTTCTGGTGCAGCAGCTGTCCCTAACCCCCAGCTGCCCTCCCCTGACACAGCTCCATGCTGTTCCCTCAGCTCCTCTGCTCTGGATGAGCAAACACAGGGACTTCAGCCACTCCTCATACATGTTGTTCTCTAGACACTTCACAGTCTTTGTAGTGCTCCTTTGGACACTGTCATAGTTATATGCCCTTTTGTGAGGCCAAAACTGCACTCAGTGCTGGAGGTGAGAAGAGCAGGACAACTTTCCCCTCAGTGGCAGCGACCCTTCTGGCTGCCAGGGCACGTTGCTGACACATGTTTAACTTGCTGTCAGCCATAATCCTCACATCCCTTTCCAAAGGACAGCTCTCTAGCCTCTCATCCCCAGTCTGTACATATATCTTGGGTTGCCCCGTCCCACGTGCAGAGTCTGCACTAGGTCTTCTGTGTATTTTAATCTGTTTGCAGGCTCTTTTCTCTTCATGGAGTCTATTCTGGGGATAGGCAAGAGGTTAGCTGCAAGCAGCTGGGAGAGGGGATGGAGGTGGAGAGAAGCTATGTGTGGATCTTGTGAGAACATGCACTGAAGTTAGGTGAGAGCTCAGACTGCTTAACATGTGGTGGGAGGAAGCAGAGGACCCACTTGAGAGGTGTCCTGCAACAGCTCTGTATCGTAAGCTCCTGCCCTTTTGATTTAAAAAAATACTTAGCTCTTTTGCCATAAACGATGTCTTTTTCACATAAAATCCAAAAGCTCCAGAACTTTTTCTCAGGATTTATCAGTGACTGGGTGACAGAATCACAGAATCACCAAGGCTGGAAAAGACCAAATGACCTTCAAGATCATCCAGTCCAACCATCCACCTATCACCAATAGTACTCACTAAACCATGTCCCTCAACACAAAATCCAAATGTTCCTTGAACACCTCCAGGGTTGGTGACTCCACCACCTCCTTGGGCAGCCTGTTCCAGTGCCTGACCACTCTTTCAGAAAAGTAGCATTTCCTAAAATAGTTACGTTCAATAACTGATGTTATTGAACAAATGAAAAGTCTTCTGATAATATTGTTTAAGGAATGATAGGGGCCTTTTTAACTTTTCTCACATGAAGGCTGGTAGTTTCCTGAAAGTAGTGTTCAGGAAAAGGCTCTGCTTTAGCAGATGAAGGGAGAAAGCAATACAGTGCTCTGATTTGCTTTTTTGTGTTTTAAGTTGCATATTCACGTAGGCATCTGCATACCTGTGAATGCACTATAATTCCATTAATAGGATACCCTACAAGGGTTTTAGCTGCAGATGAAGCCAAGATGTACTACAGACAAATTGTATGATAACATTCCACAGTTATAATATGTATGTAACCCAGGATGCATTAAAACAGTGGTGTTAGTCTGTTTTGCTACTCATTCGTGAAGAATATAGGCAAAATAACTCCCACTAATGGTAACTGAGTAGAAATTAAATTCTGTAGCGTGGAGTGAATTTTAATCCAATGTCTAAAGATTTATTTGCTTAAACATGCAAAACATTCAAAAGATTTAATAGTTAAGTGTTTTATTATTGTAGCACCAGTTATCCAAGCTGCCTAATACCTTTCATGTTGAGTTTCCATTTAAAATTGACTCTTTGGAAGTACAGTTTCTGAACAAAATAATTAATTTTTCTCAGCATACACTTTTCTTTTTACTAGGTAATTATTTGTGTAGGTTTTACCCCATATGAAAGCTGTGCGACATATATAAAT